TTTTCTTGCGTTTAGCTATTCAATTACTCCATGCAGTGTTCTAAAATGCACGTATATGCTTCACATGTACCCTGCATATGCTTGATGCATTTTCGAAACATCTTGTATATGGGGTATGCGATTGGTAATGTGGTCAACCCATTTCGTTGATCGCATTTGCACGCTTATACATCAAAATGCACACGCATTTTTGTTAAAAATTGTATCAAAATTAGCCTACCAAAGTCCAATCCATTTTTATAACTTATAAAAAGCAAATTAAGCCCAACAATATCAAATTACCCAAGTCACCGAAGCCCATGAATTATATACTACAATTTGTAGGGTTTTAACTTTTAAAAAAATTTAAAATAAAAATGTTTTTTTCGTAGAATTGTAAACTATCTATGCTGAGCCCAAGTCTCCTTCAGTCTTTCTCTAAATTTACTAATAAGTGATGCTAGTAATGAATAATTTTGAATTTTTGATGGTTATGATAATGATGATGAGGTTAATAATGATATTCTATCATTTACAAGAGGTAATAAAAATTCTTGAGTTGAAATAAAGGGGCCTGATAAAAGTAATTTTATATCGGATGATTCCGAAGATGACTTGGATGCAGAGGAGTTTGAATTGGAATCTTCGGTAAGAGTTGGACAATATTTAGGATTTTTTAAACTGATATTCGTGTCTAATCTAATTGTAGGAATTGATTAACAAGTAATCATAATATTTATGATTTTGGGCATTAGTTCTTTGTTAAAAATTTGAAGAACGTGTATAAAGTTCAAGTAATTGTAGTATTTATGATTTTTAGCATTTTTTTTTTAATTTGAAGAATATGCATAAAGTTTAAGGAAATCATTATTTTCTTTATTTATTAGTATTTAAAATAATATTAAGAATTGGAAAACGCATAATTATGCATATGCTTCGCATAGATACGTATATTCTTGTAATGCTTGACGTTCGACCGAAATGCATTGCCACACATTACGTATTTTAGGACCTTGACTCCAGGTTGTTCCTTTCTCTGAATAGTGCTTAAGTTCTGTGTGATTCCCTGATTTTTGTAATACATAGGAATTATTTTTGGACTACTTGGTTGAAGAATGAATTATTAGTAGGAAGAATTTATATTGGTTTAATTGGTTGACAACGTATAGTGAATTGGTGGATACTTATTGTGATTCCTTTGAAGTCGTAAAATTACATAGATGGCTTGTCT